CTTCGCGTCTACCGGAGTTCCGTGCCTGCTACTCACTGACGGTGGACCTCAGTTCACGGCGAAGAAGACCCGGGAATTCCTGGACAAGTGGGGTGTTCGTCAGCAGTTCTCGTCACCTCACTATCCACAGGCCAACGGGCATGCGGAGGCGGCAGTAAAAGCTGTCAAACGGCTGGTCAAGAAGGTGACTGTCGGAGGCGATCTCGACACAGACGCCTTCGCCGAGGGACTACTGGAGCTGCGGAACGCTCCAAGAGCAGACGGGAGATCGCCGGCTCAGATTCTCCTCGGTCACCCGCTGAGATCGAGGATTCCGGCTCATCAGCGTTCGTTCGCCAAGTGCTGGCTGGAACGTGCCGATGAGGTCGACAGACAAGTCACAGAACAGAGACGCAAGGAGGCGGAGCGCTACAACTCCTCTGCGCGCTCACATCGCCCTCTACAGCTGGGACAGCATGTGCTGATGCAAGATCACCGCACGGGCCTGTGGGACTGCACAGGCATCATCAGTGGCATCAGCAAGGAGCGACGCAGTTTCCTGGTGCGCACGCCATCCGGGCGCATATACTGGCGCAACAGACGTTTCCTGCGCCCGCTGCGCCCGCTCGTCACCGCCAACGGCGGGCCGGCGCGCGCGGCGCTGGAGGTTCCAGCACAGGATCCCACCGCGGCTCTGGCAGGAGCGGCCGCTGGGACGCCGACGGCCGCGACAGAAGCAGAGCAGTCAACGTCATCGGCTATGACGTCACGACAGTCGCCACGTCGACAGCCACATCAACAGCCGCGAAGAACGCCGGCTGCTGATACTCGCCGAGCGCCGGAGGGGGGTGACGGTGACGGAGACCGCGCGGTGACGGTGACGGAGACCGCGCGTCGGTCGCCGAGAGCTGATCCGCCGATTCGTCGCAGTGGTCGTAACCGTCGCGAGCCGGTCAGGTTACAGGTACGGTGGGGACCGTGCACAAGCTATGAGTGATCTAGTTTGGAGTGTATTAGATACGCGCGAAGATGCTCGTAGATATTTAGTGGTTTTGCGGGTATGAGACGCGCGTGTCAGTCAGATATCCCAGGAGGTGTTAATTTATTGTATCATGGCTTGTTGCAAAATAGGTTTGTTAACCCGGGGGGAGGTGTTCCATTATGAAGGCAAAGTGTTGCCACATGATGCTGCCATATGCTGAGTGCCGCCCGCCCGGTTTGTTAATACAGTCGGAAGCCTGACGCTGGCGTGTGCGGGTCCGCGTGCGAGAGCCGAGCTACCGAGGGTAGCAGCGAACAGAATATCAGCTATTACCACATACATATGATCATATTCATGGTCCTCTTATGATTTGATAGGCAGATACCTATTCCTTTGCATCAATGCCTTGTATGACGTGTGTTCGGGCCTTGGCAAAATTATACAAATGGGAAGTATTCGAATGCGACATTGTCGGATCCGAATGCGAATTACACGTATGCATTTGCGACACATACAGTGCATAAATCAGGACCATTTGGCCTCAAATCGCCAAATGCAGCACTGTAGTTTAGATGAACTACCACGAAGCCACCCATTTTATGCTGACACTACCCTCAAGATGATTAAATGGGTCGAACTTATTCCAACTTCCATGGCCATATACTTAATTAGCACTGACGCCGCCCCTCACGAAATGCCATTGGACGAGCGAGCGGCGGCGCGGCCCGGTGGAACGGTGTTTGTGGCCTCACCGGTGGGTTTTGTGTATGTAGGGCCAGACTCGGCCTGCATGGCATCTCATCCCGTCTCTGTCCCGTCTCCGTCCCGTCTCCGTCCCGTCTCCGTCCCGTCTCCGTCCCGTCTCCGTCCCGTCTCCGTCCCGTCCCAGTCCCGTCCCAGTCCCGTCCCTGTCCGTCTCCCTCCCACCCCCTTTCCATCCCATCCCGTCTCCGTCCCGTCTCCGTCCCGTATCCATCCCACCTCTTTTCCCATTTCGTCTCCGTCCCGTCTCCGTCCCGTCTCCGTCCTGTCTCTATCCCTTTACCGTCTCCGTCCCGTCCCGTCTCTGTCTGACTTCGCCTCGCCTCCGTCCCGTCCCCATCCCACCTCCTTTCCATCCCATTTCGTTTCCGTCCCATCTCCGTCCCGTCTCCGTCCCACCCCATTTCGTCTCCGTCCCGTCTCCGTCCCGTATCCGTCCCTTCTCCCTCCCGTCTCCGTCCCGTCTCCGTCCCGTCTCCATCCCACCCCTGACGCCGCGCTGACTCGGCTATAGGCGCGTCTCCGATGGTCAGTGCCGCCGGAACTGGCGATATATGACCGAGACCGGCGTGACAGCCTAATGACGTGTCGTAATGGGCGGCGGCGCCGGCCCCGCGGCGGTCACTGATTGATGCGTGTCAATGGGCGCCGGCGGCTGTGATACCGTGGACACCGCGGACAGGGCGAGGGGGAGGGAGGGAGGGGAGAGAGAGGGAGAGACGTGCACGCATGCACGCTGATGCAGTCTGTATATGACCGTCTTACACGATCAAAACCAAGCGCACATGTGGATGCACGTCCATCCGTCATCGCTCTTATTACATTGTGAACGTCACTCATTCAGAAAATGCCTTCCCTGATCCCTGTTACACTTCTTGAGTAGGTATCCTATTTCGTCATCCTATTTTGTTTCGTCATTGAGTGTTTCGTGAGATTTTTTTTTTAATTTAGTCCGAACCTTTTGATAGGAAGGATTCACAAGGACAGAGCCACCGCTAAGCGAAGCGATCGCGCAATTCCAGTTCTATGGCAGAATTTAGAGTCCAAAGTTTAACGTGCGCACATAGCCGCGCACGGCCGGTCCCCTCACTGACTTCGCCTGGCTACGGCCTGCCACCAACCGCAGCCATACCTGTCAGGAGGCCCATAAATGTCGAGCGCCCGTCGCGCTTCGAACCTGGACTGTTATAACCGGGAACGCGTGCTCTCACCACGCGGAGTCCAACGCTTTACCAACTGAGCTACGGGAGATTTGGTCTGAACGTTGGTCTCGTCAGATCAGCCTGTCCGCTGGTTCTGTGAAATCGTCAGTTATGTGGTGACTGTGTTAGCTTCGAGGGGGGGGGGGAGAGGCGGAGATCGGTGATCCGCCCCGTCCCCTCCCCTCCCTCTTTCCCCTCTGTCGTAAAGACTCCGACAACAAGAACTCATAATTCGGATCAGGTTTCCTACACCGGACGGGGCAGTGTGGCTTGGTGTCAGACCCGCCCACTCGCTGCCAGAGCGAAGAACGGCGAAAGGGAAGGAGAGAGAGAGAGAGAGAGAGAGAGAGAGAGAGAGAGAGAGAGAGAGAGAGAGAGAGAGAGAGAGAGAGAGAGAGAGAGAGAGAGGGAGAGAGAGAGAGGGAGGGAGAGGGAGAGGGAGAGAGGGGGAGGGAGCTGGGGAAATGATGAGAGAAATAGTTATTGATCAGCATTTATAAAGCAGAGACAGTGACGCGCAGGGATGAAGGAAACTATCAGACTAACAGACGGATATACCTTAAAAGATTATTTGCAGAACAGAGCGCAATCTGCGCATTGTAATCCGCAACGTAGGCCGTGGATCTATTCAGTCGTTATGGTAAAGGCGATACAAATGCCCAACAAGAATAGGGGGTTAATACCAGGACAGGATCTGTCATCTCTGGTATCTCAGCAACGTACAACGTACTCGTACACTGTACAGCCAAAGAAAAGCCGCTCAAACTAGACTGCAAGAGGGCTGGTAATATGCCGTAAGTAATGGGTATCCTTCGTCAATAGCTTCGCTCAGTATATTTCCATACATTACTCACATCCTGCAGATAAGCATGAGATGAAGTATAGGTCAAACCATGGATAAGCGATTCTAGTTACTTACCAAAGCATGTAAAGCACATCACATTGGTATCTAAGGGCGCATGGCCTTACGGTACAGTCAGCAGTTAAAGCTCTAGTTGCGAGAGTTCAGCTGTAACATCGATTCGACATCCATTGATATAAAGCACTGTTAGCCAAAATATACACTTTTCACATCAGTAAACGTACTATACCCCTGACATCAAACATACACGTAAAGCACATGCACATCGAGCTTTACTGGCCGCGCGCATTCATATAAACCACCCTGAATATTGCACCCACCCCCCCCCCCATTTAAAATACAACAGTCTGACTAGCTATTTGTCAGAAAATATTATCTCCTACCTATGAAACATCTGCGTTTGTGGACTCCACTGCCAAATACAATTTATTTTGGTTGCACTACATCACCTTCCTTGCGCCCCTTTATTCTGTTCACCATAGTCAACCCCGCGCGCCTAGACGCGCAGATGTTCACATTCGCGTAGAATTACGCGCATATGCATTATGCAGTGGCATCGGAAGCCGAAGAGAGGTACGCAGGTGCTATCATACGGAGCTCTGCAGTGCAGCCCCTGCTATGGCGCGCACAGGGGGTGTCGGGACGTGTAAGCTACCTAAAGGGTGAGCGAGTGTAGTGTGCACTGTGATAGCTGCGCGCTATATGTGTTACTGAAAACACCCCCGCACATGGAGCAAATGTTGACGTGCCTCTGTTGGATACCGGTACGGGATATTTACGGATTCGTATGCGACTGTTTTGATCTGTCTTTATGGAAACCACTGACCACTGGTAAAAACTGTAACTTTCATGAGAGGATCGCACTGTTGGCTATTTTCAAATAGTTATTGTTAGGTTAGCCGACCCGCAGTATGAGTGATGTATACCCATAAGTAATAAGTGGTAATGCCCACGTTAGTGTGTGCTTTCATATTAATCTCGTTGCAGACGTTATTCCCCGTGTCATCATTTGTGAAAAGTAAATAAAAAGCGGCGATTATGTATGCTGCCAATTGCCGCTTCTGGCAAAAGCTTCGCCGGTAAGTATCTGATATCTCACAATTCTTCCCATCCGTTGTCATTATCAGTTATCACCGCCAGTGGGTACATTCCTATACTGCCGCGGAGCGTTCTGAAATCAGACACTGTAGCCCGTACACGGCTCACTGAGCCGCCAGTAGGTACAGCCGACTACCATTTACATTCTACAACACCGACCGGCACACGAAAACGTACAGCCCAGCTGACTAGAAAACGGTCATCAGTCGCCGGCTGTAGGCAGCCGCCGCCGCCGCCCGTCTAATGTGGCGTCTGTCTACGGCGGGCTGCCTGTCAGCAGCGACTCTGAGTTCAAACCGAGGTCAACTTGCACGACTCGCATCGTGTTTGACGCCCCTGCCTCACTTGTGAGAGTCCAAAATCGGTAGCCATTTAAAAATCCTCCGGTAAAAGTCCTCCGCATTTGATCGTGTCTCAACCCTCAGGTGATTTCATTGTCCAATGTCCCGTCTCGTGCGGATGGCGATCACGCTACGGCTGTCATCAGCTGGCACTGCTCGTCGGTGACGTCACGGCCACGTGACCCGGTGTGCGCGGGCTCCTCCTCCTCCTCCTCCTCCTCCTCCTCTGCCTCGGACTCCTGCAGCAGCAGCTGGGAGTAGGTCAGGCAGACCGACTCGTCTATTGGCGGAGACAGCGGCCCGCCAGACGGCGCTGATTGGTGCGCCGCGCGCGGCGAGGCCGCTGATTGGCCGCCGGCCCGGTCGATGGGCGGGGCCGCGGGTCGCGGGGCGGGTTTATCGCTCGGCGCCAGATATGAACTCTCGAGGAGGTGCATGTTGCCGTAATCCACCGAGCCATCCGTGTCGTCTGAAAACGAAACGAAAATCATCAGCCATTAGCCAATATTACTCTGCCGCTGTCAACCTTACCTTCGCTTCTACCCCTTACAACTCCGTCAATTAATCTCTCCTTCTCTATTCTTCTTTCTCTTTTTCTTTCCCTTTCACCCTCACTGGCCTAGAAACGTGTATCATTTCCTCCTTTCCGCTTTTAAACAGTGCAGTATCTACTCATAGCTCAGCACCCTTCCTCAGCAGGTCAGACAACTCGCCATCTTCTCCCAGCAGGTCAAAGTACTCCGTTTGACTCAGCGCGCACCTCCCTCGCCGAGCAGGTCAAAGTACTCCCCTCCCTTCCCTCAGGAGGTCAAAGTACACCCTGATTGGCTCAGTACCCACCTTCCTCCCCGAGGAGGTCGAATGACTCCCTGTTTGACTCAGTACTCACCTCCCTCGCCGAGCAGGTCAAAGTACTCCCCTCCCTTCCCTTAGGAGGTCGAAGGACTCCCTGTTTGACTCAGTACCCACCTCCCTCCTCGAGGAGGTCGAATGATTCCCTGTTTGACTCAGTGCTCACCTCCTTCTCCGAGCAGGTCAAAGTACTCCGTTTGACTCAGTACTCACCTCCTTCTCCCAGCAGGTCAAAGTACTCCGTTTGACTCGGCGCGCACCTCCCTCGCCGAGCAGGTCAAAGTACTCCCCTCCCTTCCCTCAGGAGGTCAAAGTACACCCTGATTGGCTCAGTACCCACCTCCCTCTCCGAGCAGGTCAAAGTACTCCGTTTGACTCAGTAGTCAGTACTCACCTCCTTCTCCGAGCAGGTCAAAGTACTCCCTATTGATGACCACGGGCGTGCTGAGGTCGAGGTACTCGGAGCCCGACTGGAGCATCTTGTCGAACCACATGGTGAGCTCGGAGAATGTCGGCCTCGAGGAGGGCAGCTCCTCCCAGCACTGGCGCATGATGCTGTACCTGGACACACGGAGTGTGGGAAGGCGGGTCAGGGCCTGGTGGGACCAGTTTGTCAGAGACTCAGAGCCTGGTGGGACCAGTGGGAAGGGACTCAGAGCCTGAGTGGGACCAGCGGGACGGGAGTGGGACTCAGGGTCTGAGTGTGACCAGCGGGACGGGACTCAGGGTCTGAGTGGGACCAGCGGGAAGGGACTCAGAGCCTGAGTGGGACCAGCAGGACAGGACTCATGTCCTGAGTGGGACCCGCGGGACAGGACTCAGGGTCTCCGTGGGACCAACGGGACGGGATGGCTCACAAGACTGCTCACAGAGACAGGTGATTTTACAAAGTTTTTATTTTACGAGGGTTACAGAGGTTTAGGCATGGGACCAGCGCGGCCGATCTTAGACGAATTCTTGAGTTCCGTTAAACAGGCAGTGCAGGCTGTGCAGCCTTTTCAAGCACCCATCACTGCTGCTATCCTGCCGTGCCGGCATAACGTTATGAAGAGTCTGACTGCCCCTCCAGTGCCGTCCCCGTCAGTTCCTCACATGTCCTGTGTACAGCTGGGCGGTCGGTCCATCCTGTATCCGGACTTCAGCAGGTGGCAGAGCCGCTCCGGCGTCACGCCGGGATACGGGGTGGCTCCTGCAGACAGAGAGGGAGGGACACTTACACTCACACCAGGGTACGGGGTGGCTCCTAAAGGCAGAGAGGGGAATTTATAATCACACCGGGGTACGGGGTGGCTCCTAGAGGCCCACACGGGCATACATCAGTATACGAGGGGGTATCGAAAAGTTCTGATCATCACCATGAATTAGATGTGATAGAAATTTGATTTTTTTACATGATGTTCATTACTCCTTTACAAGTCACCACACACGACCGCAAACTTATTGCATCGTTTCTTGAGATGCCTCAGGCGGTCATTGTAGGACCTTCGCCTTGTCCCGTAAATCACTGCTCCACCTCATCAATGACGTCATTTCTGGGCCTTTAATCACCGGCCATATTGTGGATTCTTCATCTCCTGTAACAATCAAGAGTCAGTTAATACCCGGTCAGGTGAATTTCTTAGATGCGGTAGGATTTAATGTCCACATCATGTTGATTCTTAAATCGCAGCTCAGGACGAATGGGCGGGGGCGCTGTCGGTGCGGATAAAACATCTTTCTTGGGCTTTTTTTGCGGCGATTCTGCTTGAGGCCATCTCGCAACTTCTTCAAAAGTGTGCAGTAGTGCTTGCTTATCATTATCCGACCATCATCAAGACAGTCGGTAATGACTATCCTACGCCAGATCCAGAACACTGATAGCATTGACCTTCCATATCGGCTTCTGCATCTTCGCCTTTTATGAAGAACAGATGTGCCGTGCTTAAACTTCTTGATCATCTTTTTGTCTCTGGATCATACACATAGACCCAGCATTCGTCACAAGTCATTAAATGATCGAAGATGTCTTCAATTTCCTAAAAAAAAACCTAGTTTTCATTCCGAAAGGCCAAGACGCATTTTTCTCTTGAACAAAGTAGACACACGAACTTCTAAGCGGGCTGACTCCTTTATCGTCTGTCGTTCTTCGCCGATAATATTTTCAGGCACTGCCAGCATTGAGACCTTTCTGTTGCACAATCATTTGAAAGGTCACACGACGATCTGTAAGGATGAGGTCCTCCACTTCCTTCACAGTCACCACCTTGTCAGTCACTGGTAATCACTCACTTCTTGACTCCCCTGCAAGGGTCATGCAACCAAGTTGAAAATTATTTCTTCATTTTCGGTAAGTGCATTAGATGGGCTTTCCTAGCTATGAACTAATTTCACGTTCTTGATGTATTTTCTCAGTGTGATACCGTTTCAAATGCATTAGTTGGATGACGGTTCGGTCCTCAATGGGCCCAATACTCATCTTTTTTACTTCAAAGTCTCTCCTACATAAGATAAAACCACTTCTCAGGATTCTCTTTGCGGGAACATTGTTCTTAAGAACCAAATATAATACCAACCAAAAATCATCAAAATCGGTCTAAATCTTCTATGTGATGATCAGAACTTTTCGATACCCCCTCGTACATAGTCAGTACACTCTACATACAGGGTGTCCCATAAGTTCGTTCTCACATTATATTTGCATGTGAAACAGAGTACATTGCGTTTTGATATACTTGTGACCCCTCAATGTGCTCCCCATTTAATAGGCAAACACATGAACACATGCTGCGGCATGCCAGCCGGCATGTTTGGCTACATAGCAGGCTTAAAGTTAACCCAGACTGACTTGACATGCGCCGTGAGCTCCTCGAGGCTGGAACAGCGCTACGCTTCGACGAGCCTAATTTTCAGCATAACCAACAAATTTTTATGAAATTTTGATCCGATGAGGTGCCTGGCATGTGGTCTTGCCACAAACGCCTGTCACAGTCTCCTTGCACCGCTTTTAAGCTTGGCTTGACCTGTGCACTGATGCACTGTCTTGCCTGAAGATGGGCCTACGACCTCTCGGATGCCATTTTCTCCTCTATAAATGTGTTCATACTCGCGGTTCGAGTTCAGCTTGAGGGTTGAAACTCCTCCTAGATGTTCTTGGAAAAACATTATGCTTCCCAAAGCTGTTTCTGGGACATCATCATCATCATCATTCTTTATTATGCACCGCTTTTACAGCGACAAATACAAATATATACATGTTTGTGGTCACAAATGATGGGAGCCTGAAAAGCTGGTATCTCAGGTATAGGTGCTCAATGTGAGCACGTGAGGAGCCTCAATAGGCGCCTGGAGGCCTCACATGTTCCTTGAAGGACCAGCCGAATGCTATCCGCCAAGCCGTCCTCCAACCGCGGAGCCCGCACACGGTCAGGGTCCACCGGCCCACCAGCCGCCAGCTCCATTACTGCTCGAAAGTCCCTGTTGTACATTTCAAACACTTGTAGGAGGAATGAGCCCTCAAGTTCTCTGGGGCACATGGCCAGCTTCGCTAGGGAGGTGATCATGGTCTGTTTTAAGCGGTGCTCCGCTACCATCGCTGACCTGAGAGCAGAGAATATTGCGCCTCTCAACAACTCTCGAACCGGCGCCAAACCAGCGGCCGTCAGGAGGGTAGAGTGATGTGCGAAGCGGGGCAGCCCGAATGCCACCTTCACACATCCGGCTTGAAGGGCATCCAGGCGGTCCACCTCGGATGGACGAAGAGGAGCTGTGCTACACCCGTACATCAAAGTAGGGAGGACAACAGCCTTCCATAGGTAAGCTTTGTCAGCCGGACTTAAGCTTTTGGCCAGTATGCCAGCTGGTGCTAGGCCATAAAAGGCAGCTCGAGCCCTTTTGACACGCTGGTCGACGTGTCGGGAAGCCGTGGAGCGGGCGTCGAGCGTCACGCCGAGGTGCTCGGAATAAGGCCGTGTTTGGAGCGGTTGGCCAGCTAGCTTCCACGTTGGTGACTGCGCCAGAAGCTCGCCACCGAAGACGATGCAGTGGCTTTTTGTCTTCTGATGGTCTGGATGGACGAATTCTAGTCGCCAGTCCCGCGCAAAGTCACCGACCTGGACCAATAGTGCACTGAGATGAGCTGCGTTCGTTGACAGTAGGAGCAGGTCATCAGCATAACACACTCCCGGCACGTGGTGCTGATGAAGGTAAGCGCCGTCGCCGCTGCGGTCCAGCGTCGCCAATAATGGACGCAAGAACACATTTGCAAAGGTCGGCGAGAGGATAGCGCCTTGCCTGGTTCCTCGTAAAACCTCAAAAGTTTCGGAGCTGGTGCCACCAAATGTAACTCTGGCGGATAGATGCCGATACCAGTAGACGATCAGGAGCCAGCAGTTGACGCTCATATGTTCTGTGAGTCGGTAAAACAGTCCGTCATGCCAAATCTTGTCAAAACATTTGCGTGCGTCCAGGTTGGCAGCGAACACAGGGAGACCAGCGCGCCGGTTATAATGTACGGTCTCTTCGACGAGCATAGAAGCTTCCGCTGTGCCACGATTAGGGATGAAGCCAAACTGCAGGTCGTGCGGGTGAAAAGAAGACTGCAGTTCCTCCAAAATCAGCAGTTCCAGGAGCTTTGAAGCACACGTTGTGATTGAGATGGGCCGGTAGTTATCAAGACAACTGGGATCGAGACGACTATTCTTCAGAAGCGGCACCACTATACTCTCGGTGAAAGAAGCCGGGACAGTGCAGGAAGATAGGCAGCCAGTCAATAGGCGAGCCAGCGCGTCTCGAAGAGGGGGAGAAGAGCCGAACATTAAGTGCTCGGCTGACACTCCATCCACACCAGGTGCCTTGCCAGAATGAAGGCGGTTCAGCAGATTGGTGATATTGGACGCAAAGCAATAGCTTGATCCGTATCGGAAACACATTCAAAGAACTGCGGCCATTGCATTTCGAGGTAGGTAGGTAGTTAAATGTTTTTAGCGGCTGATCGAAAAACTTCATCCAGCACACCTACTTCCTCTCTCTCCCTCTCTCTCTCCCTCCATCTCTCTCTCTCTTTCTTTCTCTCTCTCTCTCTTTCTCTCTATCTCTCTCTCTCTCTCTCTCTCTCTCTCTCTCTCTCTCTCTCTCTCTCTCTCTCTCTCTCTCTCTCTCTCTCTCTCTCTCTCTCTCTCTCTCTCTCTCTCTCTTTCTTTATCCCTTTCTCACCGAGTGTGACCAGCTCCCAGAGGAGGACTCCGAAACTCCAGACGTCCGATTTGGAGGTGTAGATGTGCTCCTCCAGAGACTCAATGGCCATCCACTTCACGGGCACTGCCGGAGGCGCACACCAGAGGTCACCGGTCGCGTGTATCTACCGGTCACTGGTCAGTGGTCAGCCATCGGTCAGGGGTCAAATACTGGTCACTGGTCAGTCAGCTGCTAGTGGTCTGTATAGTCAGTGTTCAGAGGCCTGTCGCACTGGTCGCTGTTCAGTGGTCAGAAGTCAGTGGTCAGTGGTCGGTGGTCACTGGTCACTGGTCACTGGCCAGAGGTCAGTGGTCAGAGGTCAGACGTCAGACGTCAGAGGTCAGAGGTAAGTGGTTAGAGGTCAGAGGTCAGGGGCAGGGTTGTGCTTGACTCATGAGTCGAGTCAGAAATTTGACTCAACTCTGACTCAAATGAGTCAGATTTGAGTCGAGTCGGATAAAATGTTGAGCTGTTGAGTTGAGTCAGAGTTGAGTCGGACAAAAATATTAAGGCGTTGAGTTGAGTCAGAGTTGAGTCAGTAAAATAACTTTTGACATTGAGATGAGTCAAACATTTAGGAACATGAGTCAGCTGACTCAACTTTCCAGAAACTATATATATATAAGCTTTTCATTCCCCCCCCCCCCCGCTTAACAACTTAGCCCTGGCTATGCTGCCGGATTTTTTCACCCCCCCCCCGCTCAACAACTTTTTTATCTGAGTCAATTTTGAGTCAAGTAACTTGACTCAACGAAAAATTTGAGTCAAGTTTGAGTCGACTCATATTTTCATCGAGCCGCTTGAGTCATGAGTCGAGTCAAGGGAAAAAATCAGCTCCTTGTTTGAGTCAGAGTTGAGTCAGGGCTTTCTGAAGTTGAATGATGAGTCGAGTCGGCAAATTTTTTTGAGTCGAGCACAACCCTGGTCAGGGGTCAGGGGTCAGAGGTCAGAGGTCAGAGGTCAGAGGTCAGAGGTCAGAGGTCAGGGGTCAGAGGTCAGTGGTCGGTGGTCAGTTGCACTGGTCGGAACTCATTGGTCATTTAACGGTCGGTAGTCGGTAGTCATCAACGGTCAGTGGTCAGAGGTCAGTGGTCGGTGGTCAGTTGCACTGGTCGGAACTCATTGGTCATTTAACGGTCGGTAGTCAGTAGTCATCAACGGTCAGTGCTCAGAGGTCAGTGGTCGGTGGTCAGTGGTTAGTGTTTAGTGGTCGGTGCTCAGTGGTGGTCAGTGGTCAGTGGTCAGTGGTCGGTGGTCAGCGATGGTCAGTGGTCAGTGGTCGGTGGTCACTGGCCAGAGGTTAGTGGTCAGATGTCAGAGGTCAGCGATGGTCACTGGTCAGTGGTCAGAGGTCAGTGGTCAGAGGTCAGAGGTCAGAGGTCAGTGGTCAGTGGTCAGTGGTCAGTGGTCAGAGGTCAGTGGTCGGGAGTCAATGAATCAGTGAGCAGTTGAAGCAGGCATAAACCATTGCTGATAAAAAGTGGATAAAAGATCGCTTCGCTCCATACATTTTCCTTCTTGTGTAGCTAATTTTCTATTCAAGTTCATCGCTTTCCATGTCATAATCTGTACCACGAAAACCTATAAATTATAACGAAAGCCGACCACACAAATAGCAGCATTCTCAATTGGTTATTGACCTTTACAGAAGCCCCGAAAGATACTTCTTCAGCCGCCCACAACCTCAGCCTGTGCCCCTCTGCTCCTCTCTATCGGAGGCGATCAGACTGGGTCAGAGTCTGAGAGACCTTCAGAGTCGCTCTGCCCCCTCTCCCTCCCTCTGCCGGAGGAGGTCAGACTGGGTCAGAGTCTGAGAGACCTTCAGCGCCGCTCTGCCCCCTCTCCCTCCCTCTGCCGGAGCAGGTCAGACCGGTCGAGGAGGGTCCGAGACCTTCAGAGTCGCTCTGTCTCCTCCCTCCCTCTGCCGGAGCAGGTCAGACCGGTCGAGGAGGGTCCGAGACCTTCAGAGTCGCTCTGTCTCCTCCCTCCCTCTGCCGGAGCAGGTCAGACCGGTCGAGGAGGGTCCGAGACCTTCAGAGTCGCTCTGTCTCCTCCCTCCCTCTGCCGGAGCAGGTCAGACCGGTCGAGGAGGGTCCGAGACCTTCAGAGTCGCTCTGTCTCCTCCCTCCCTCTGCCGGAGGTCAGACCGGTCGAGGAGGGTCCGAGACCTTCAGCGCCGCTCTGCCCCCTCTCCCGGAGCAGGTCAGACCGGTCGAGGAGGGTCCAAGACCTTCAGCCCGCTCCCAGTGGGCCCCGCTGCCCCCTCTGTCTCCCTCTGCCGGAGGAGGTCAGACGGGTCGAGGAGGGTCCGAGACCTTCAGCGCCGCTCTGTCTCCTCCCTCCCTCTGCCGGAGCAGGTCAGACCGGTCGAGGAGGGTCCGAGACCTTCAGAGTCGCTCTGTCTCCTCCCTCCCTCTGCCGGAGGAGGTCAGACCGGTCGAGGAGGGTCCAAGACCTTCAGCCCGCTCCCAGTGGGCCCCGCTGCCCCCTCTGTCTCCCTCTGCCGGAGGAGGTCAGACTGGTCGAGGAGGGTCCGAGACCTTCAGCGCCGCTCTGTCTCCTCCCTCCCTCTGCCGGAGAAGGTCAGACCGGTCGAGGAGGGTCCGAGACCTTCAGCGCCACTCCCAGGAGAGCTCGCAGCCGATGAGCTGTATTAACGTTTCATGAGGTGACCGTCGGCGGCAGAGGCTGGCAGCCGGGCCGGTCCGGGTCAGACTGATTCAGAGGGACGGGGAGAGGTGGGCGGGGATGGTGGAGATGTGGGACGGCGCTGGGGGCGGTGGGAGTGGTGGGAACTGGTGGATATGTGGGACAGAGGACGGACAGGGCAGTGGGGCTGGTGTGGGTGTGGGACGGCGATGGGGGTGATAGGGGCTGATGCTAATGTGGGGCAGAGGACGGACGGGATGGGGCGGTGGGTGTAGGTGGGGGTGGTGTAATGTTGCGGTACGACGGAGGTGAGTGTGGCACAGTGTGGTGGGAGTGGCGTCGGTGTGGGACGGCGGGGAGGCGTGTCACGGTGCGACACTGAACACTGGACAGCGCTGCAGGACGACGGGTCAGCGGCGGTGGTGGCCAGTGTCACCAGGGACTGGTGCAGAGCAGATGGCTGACACTGGCCACCAGCACCAGTCCGCTAATTGGCAGAGTGTCCGTCCACCCACGCCCCACGTTCCCACCCCTCCCCTCCCTCTTACGTAAGCACACGTGAGTACCACGTCAGAGGGAGGGCGGGAGTCTGAGCACCAGCTGGCAGCTCAGAGACAGGAGACGGGAGCAGCCCTCCAATGCCAGGCAGGTGGAGCTAATCCAACTCATTAAAACGAATCAGTCCTATACAATACATACGTCATACATACCTTTGAAGATATGGCGAGTGGATATCGCGCTAAAAGAAACTGTTAAAACAATAAATAAGCAACAAACACGCCACTTGCAACAAAGCTCAACTTCTCAACTCACGCAAAGAAATACGCGCTCAAAAGCTAGCCTCGACCATGAGACTTCTCTAAAGAGAAGTCTGTGCTCAATAGATTATTCAAGGACAGGTAACCAATTTTGGGGAAGAGCTTTATTAACTTTCAACTAAAGCGGAAACTTTCCGAATTACTTACTCTCAGGAACTTTCTAATGCATCGAAGAATGACAAAAATAACAAATCTCGAGCCGGAACAAAGCTCCATTCACCTCCCACCTTAACTACATCAAACGGAAGGCTGAGTTTCGAACTCGGCATAATGTGATTACATCGGGCGACTTTTTAGCCATCATCTGATTGTGCCGTGCCCCGGCGGACCTCAGTGCCGGCCAGCCTGGGTTTGACGGCGGCACCTAGCAGCAGCGACCCGCCGTGAGTACACCTAGCTCCGGGCCCGGTCAAAGTTACAGCCCCTGACAGGGCGACCTGCCGCCGTGAGGAGACGCCCACCTCTGGGCACAGGTCAAAGTTAGCGGTGTCGGGCCGCGCGCGCGCTGAGCGCAGTTCGGCTTATCGAGAGCTGAGATTGGAAACATACGGCTGCTCAGCCAGCGACAATTGGTGTCCCACAAGTGGAACTTCTGGCCATTTCTTTCATTCCTCCCCTCCCTTTAGCTTATTCACTGTCATGGTTGTTTAGTGTTCCCAGTTCCCACTTTACATTTCCATATCGTTTCTCCCCTGTTTCTTTCTTGCCCTCTGGCCCCAGTCCTGCCGTTCGCGGTTACCGCCCTTCCTCTTCCTTGGTTATCCATTATTTACATCTGTATGAACCCTTCCTCGACTTTTTCTCTGTTCCTTTCCATCCCTCCCTTCTATCGACCTTCCAGTCTATCAACCTCTCCCCTTTCCTCCGTCCTCCCTCCCCACTCACCGCGACCCTTGCTGGTCTTCTGGTAGAGGACCAGCAAGGAACTCCTCCCTCCGTCCTCCCTCCCGACTCACCGCGACCCTTGCTGGTCTTTTGGTAGAGGACCAGCAAGGAACTCCTCCCTCCGTCCTCCCTCCCGACTCACCGCGACCCTTGCTGGTCTTTTGGTAGAGGACCAGCAAGGAACTCCTCCCTCCGTCCTCCCTCCCGACTCACCGCGTCCCTTGCTGGTCTTCTGGTAGAGGACCAGCAAGGAACTCCTCCCTCCGTCCTCCCTCCCGACTCACCGCGTCCCTTGCTGGTCTTCTGGTAGAGGACCAGCAAGGAACTCCTCCCTCCGTCCTCCCTCCCCACTCACCGCGACCCTTGCTGGTCTTCTGGTAGAGGCTACCCTCGTAGACGTCCCGCGTGAGGCCAAAGTCGGAGATCTTACACACGCCACCGGCCGCCAGCAGCACGTTACGGGCCGCCAGGTCACGGTGGACCATCTGAGGACAGCGGTAACGTTAACAAGGTGCACAGAACACCGCTAACGACAACAGGGTGCACGGAACAGAAACACCGGGTCACGGCGAACCATCTGCGGACGGCGGCTAGCGTGAACACGGTGCATAGAACACCGTAACATCAATGCATTTGCATGTAAGGCAAATGGTAAATCCCTCTCAGCCCCTCTCAATCCGAAGTGCCACAGCTTTGAAATTAAATATTTCCGAATTAAAGCCTTTCTTGATGTTGTGAGTGCCCAAACCGGTAAGTGCAAGCCAGCGACCCCAATTTGGCTATCACACATCCAAACTAATGTTAAGGTGGGATAGTCACTTTAACCCTCGCACGACCAGGCCATTTCTCATAACACGAACGACCAGGGGGGGTTGTTATGACCCCCCCCTGGCGTTTCGAAACGGAAGGTCGTAGAGCTTAGCGGAAAAAACCAACGGATTGCTCTCAACGAGATCTCGCGATTGGTGGAATATTTTTTTGGTCCTAGGTCAACATTTGACCTACTTATGACCGGTCAAAGGTCAAATTTTCCGAAAAAATCAAACTTTTTCAACTTTCCGCGGCGATTGCGGCAAAACGGTGGGAGATATCGACTTGAAACCTTCACTATCGTGTTCCTTGATAAATTTTCTATCGTTTGGTATGTATTTCGTTTCCCTAGCTCTAAAAATGGCGCGTTGGGAGCGCCGGAAGTCGGCAAAATCACAGTCGGCGGCAGAAATTCGAAAAATCAAAATTTAAATTTTTGAAATCTGATTGTATTTTTGGATTTGGGAGGTCCATTTGCCCCCTATAGAAGCTAATATTGCTGCATATTCCCATTGAGGTGACAAGAATTAGCAAAATAGTGGTTCGGGCGCTTTTCAAAAATAGTACCGGACGCTGTTCCTCTTGTGACGTCATAGCTCCGTGACCTGACCTGACCCGGTCATTTTTCTTGCACCACACGATAGCCAATGCTTGCCCCAACATGCATGGGAAGTTTCATCATGATCCATCAAACAATGTGGGTATCACCGGCAGAAAACCTAGGGATTCGGCGCACACGTTTGGTAACTGTCGACCGGAGGCTGTACCTCTTATGACGTCATAACTCCGTGACCTGACATGACCCGATCAATTTTTTTTCGACAAAAGATGCGCAAAGGTTGCCCCAGAGGGTATTGAAAACTTCAGCCCGTTACGACAAGCCGTTTAGCGTGCACTTCGAAAAAACCTCAGGGGGGGGGGGGTTGATACACCCCCCCCTAGGCGTTCTAGGGTTAAACGCCGTCCGTTACAATGACTTCATGGCAACACAAAAAGAAAACACACACACATTTACATAATGGCACTTTATGTAGATGGAGCGCAACCCACTTCAGACATGATCAGAGCTTGCGTAAACACGTTTAAAAAGTACTTAAACTGAACTGACAGTTTGTTTCAAATACGATTTACCTGCTGTGCGTCCCTAAGTATTTTGCAAGATGTGTTTTTCGCTCTTGGAGCTGAGATGAGCTCTGCTTCTTGAAACACTTTACAGGTTAAGCATAGTCTACCAAACAAACAGGCTTTATTGCTCCTTCAAAGCAGACACTTCGTAAGCAAGTAAAGTTATGCGGAGCGTGCAAGACCCCAGCGAGTGACAGGGTAAACTAATAAACCCGGTGGAGGGGAACTCCAGTCGTTAGCTCCTGGTGCGCACACGGACGGCCATTTACAAAGTCAGAGCGGTCATCTAACTTCTGTCGCCGAGAAATGGCCGATCGTTCGGCCACCTCCGTCCGGCCCATGCATGTGCCATTGGTAGTGCCGGCGAAGTTGGGCTATAAGGCGCACCGTGGTTGTGACGTGTGCCGTGGTGGCGGTGTAGAGTGAAGTAAAGGTGTGGTATGTACGACTAGCACAGTAAAAGTAGCACAGTAAAACTGTGCTCTGAAGCCGTGCCTTGTGCGCCGCTGGTGAATGCACAGGTGCTGTATTGGTATTGGTATTGTATTGGCGGTGCTGCGCCTGGTGGTATGGTGGTATTGGCTGGCGGTATGACATTGACTGTTTACTGATGGCCATGATGTGCAGCGTTGACTGATGCCCGAAACGACGCAGCTGACATGCACACGGATGGTCACTGAGCTCAGACGCAAAAGCCGCGTGATTGCGTCGGAAAAGCAGATAGGATGAATCGGATGAATGCATTGTGCTGATTGAAGCAGTTGACTGCGCTCCGTTCAGTCCGTTGTACCCCAAAGGTACCGTTGTCAGGTGGATGGTGCCATAGACAGACAAGATCATGCAGTACCTAAACAAATATGGATCCAAGGGCGTCGAGTTCATTTTTTGACAAGGCAATGTGCATAATTCAAATGACGATTGCACGCTATTTAGTCGAGTTTGGATTACTTTTTTTAAACAATACAAAACATTTCATTTTGTGAGCATCAATCGAAAGTTTACTCAGCGGGAAGGGACGACACGCTAACCACTTCGACATTTTCCTTTCCCATTCGCCGCAGAGCAGACAATTGACCCGCCGATCGACTGACCTTCATTTCGACGAGGTAGGACATGCCGCGGGCGATCTGCCACGCGTAGCCAATCAGCTCCTTGGTGGTGATGGGGCTCCTCTTTTCCGCCGCCTTCTGATCGGGCTGACCCCCGGCTGGCCCGTCCGTGCCGAGCTGCTCTTTTCCCGCCGAGTCCGCCTCGGGCGCAGACTTCCTGGGAGATTTTTCTGTAGACTTTTCCACATTTGTCTCTTTCTCGGATATATTTTCTGAGCATTGTTTGTCCAGACATTTTTGGTCGGCGTTCAAGAAGCTCAGAGACACCTTGCGGCTTTTGTACAGGTAAGTCCTGCGGAGATACGGAAATCAGCTGGTAGAAAGCGAATAGTGTTGCAAGTGAAAACGAAAGCATTTTGTAATTAGTTCCGAAACTTGCCATATTGTTTGACCTAGCCATGTTTTGGACATCGAACAAGACTACAGCTTCTCAAAGCTTGAGTCGCGATTGTTTGTCCCTGCCTATGTATAACCTGCCCTAAATTTCTACCCCCGCCGTGATTCGAACTGACACCTATTGCTGATTGCGCCCCTAGCAGACACGACAGCCTAAAATCTGCGCCCGCCGGGATTCGATCCCCCGCCCGCCGCTCACCGCAGGCAGCCGAGCTCGGCGTACTCGATGATGACACAGAGTGGTCCTCCGGGCGCCGTGCAGGCCCCCAGCAGGCGGATCACGTTCGGGTGGTCGACCTCCTTGAGCAGACTGTACTCGGAGAGCAGGTCCTGCAGCTCAGACGCCGTGCTGGCCGGCTTCAGCATCTTGACCGCCACAGAGGTGTAGCCTGAGGTCAGGTCAGCGGGTCAGAGGTGTAGCCTGAGGTCAGGTCAGCGGGTCAGGTCAGCATCTTCACCGCCAAAGAGGTGTAGCCTGCGCCCTGAGGCTAGGTCAGCGGGTCAGGTCAGCGGGTCAGTCGGTCAGGTCAGCGTCTTCACCGCCAAAGAGGTGTAACCTGTCAGAGAGGGGCAGCCTCAGGTCAGCTGGTCAGGTGAGCAGGCCAGCAGAGAAGTGGGTGTAACCTGAGAGCAGCGGGTCTGGTAGCGTCTTCATCGCCATGGAGGTGCAACCTGAAGTCTGCGGGTTGGTGGCAACAAGCTGAGTTTAACAGGTAAAAATATAAAACATATTTCTCTGGATTTCTGACAGTTGGTAACGTCCTAATGAAAGTTCTTCCCACTGCGCAAACCTGACTGAGCTAGCAAACCTGGTTATAATGTCTCAAATCGGTTCAGTATTCAGAGGGGCGCAAACGCTCTCAAGAAAGCTCTGTGTTTTGCAAACACTAGCCCGCGCACCGACGGGGGTCTGCGCCAACTTAGAACCGACGGGAGGGGGGGGGCGGATGACCGCCCCCCTGAGATCTCGAGAACGAAGCAAGATAGCGACAAGCGGTAAACGGCATGGGATACGCACGGACAAGTTCTACAATTTTTACACAGGTCATTTTCAGGTCAGGTCAAAGATGACGTCACAGGGGTCAAAAAAGTAAAAATGGCGGCGCTAGATATGGAGAGTTTTTCCCGAATAACTTACGAATTGGTCAAGCTAGGAACAAGCTAAGGAAACCATCGTGATCCTCTCGTCATTCCGCATCGAACCATATATATGTTGAACTCGAAAGGAAAGGTCAAAGGTTGACCTCAGGTCACGTGACCTCGAGGTCATCATGTATATCATTCGATGCGCCTTGACGATCTGAACACAATGAGACCGCGCGGCTGTATCTTGTTCCTGTAAGGAGTTATTGGCAAAAACCCTTTGGTGACCTTTGATGACGTCACATGACCTTACAGCTGCCCAACAGCAAAACAGGCCTCAAGGTAGTGAAGGTTAATCGTATATGCAGTCATGTATGGTATATGGGCCATTCTGACGCATTTTAGTGAAAAAAAAACAACAGGGAGTTGATTTTCCCCCCTTGGCTGATAATGGGGAGGTCGAGAATTTTGACCTGACCTTTGGTCATCCATTTCAAAATTCCAAGATAATCAAATTGTAGCTAGCGATGACTTAATAACATCTTGCGACTTTCAAAGGATTCCGTCATCTACTGTAGCTCTGACACGGTGACAAAGTTGCAAAAAAGTGACTTCAGGTTGGGTCATTCAAAGTGACCTGGTGACCTGACCTTGAAAGTAAGGAGGTTCAACCTTGCACAACATGTGTAAAACTGATGATAGAATAGTCATACTAAATTTCGTGGCGCTACGCGCCGCAGTTTTCCCGCTATTCGCGAAAAACCTCAGGGGGGGATAACTGCCCCTTCCCGTCGGTGCGCGGGCTAGCCCGCGTCCCGTTGGGGTCTGCCGAGCAACGCGCCCTGCTGGGGGAGGGCCAATTTGCCCCCCCCCCCTAAGATCTCGAGAACCACGCAATATAATGACAAGCAGCAAACGGCGTTGGATAGCCCCAACAGGCAACTACCTTGTGACTTACTTTCATTGACCTAGGTCAAACCGATGACGTCACAGGTCAGGTCAAATGTCGAATTTTCACCGTTTACAGGCATTTCAAGAAATGCGTTGTAAAATCGAGTTAAATGCATTTCATTGAAAATCATCGATGGGGTATTGTTTTTCAAACACATATTTTGCTATTTGAGGTCACTGATACCAGGTCAGGTCACAGAGGTCAGGTCACTGAGGGTCACAATATGAAAATATCATGTGATACATGTTTTATGGTCCATTTTATATGTCAAATGGGATTATGTGGGTCAGGCAGCCTTTGGGGTCAGTTTAGATTATGTTCTGGTCAAGGTCAGGTCAAATTAGGTCAAATTTCAAAGTTGATATTTTTGCAAAAATATGGGTTTCGATTCGATGCAGCTTGTCACGGGGAGTTCAATGGTGGTCTCTGTTTTGCGCTACGTGCTCTAGAATTGCCAAAAATTGAGTTGAAAAATTTGACGTCATCAACTTTGAGCAGGTTTTTCGCTATACCTTGGCAAAAAAGAGGTATCGATCTAGAAATTGGTCGGTAGAAAGAAGAGCACAGAAACTATCACATATGTTCCGTTTTATTTCGAAATTCAAAAAACTTTTGCTTTTTTGCGTTTTTTTTTTAAATTCAATTGTTTGAATTTTGGGGGAACAATTGCAAAAATTTTGAAAATCCGAGATAGGAGTTTTGTAGCGCCGTCTTTTTCTACATGGCCATTTAAAGAACATTGAAATTGCTCAGTAACTGTAGCTTTGGTGAGCGTTTCAAGATTTCATGTTTTTTGCTCATTTTTGCTCGAACATGACCTCAGTTTGACCTCAATAACTCCTGACATAAGGTGACCTAAGACTTGAAATTTTGTGTGGATGTGTCTAATTGATGCTCGGTAAGGTACTTAAAATTTGGTGGCGCTGCGCGCTGCCGTTTTCTTCCTATTCAGGAAAAACCACAGTGGGGGGCAAATTGCCCCCCCCCCTCCCAGCGGGGCGAGGGCTAGGATACGGTATCATATCAGACTTTCGCCAGATTTCTAAGGAACATTTTCAGAATCTGCCGGTGCCATATCCAGTCTCCTCCTCCATATCAACATGTCGTCATATTTTCTGACATAATACCGCAGTCCACTTGGCACTTAGCGGAGTTTTCGTCCATTTGCCGACTATCGATACCAGGCCGGTCGGCCGGTAAACGTATGGCCTCGATCCGTTCAGACTCAGGCGGGCCGCCGCGACGGGCGAGCGGCTGTTCTCTGAGACGCAGGGATCCGGGGAGCTATTCAAATGCATAAAGCCGGGACACTGATATTGGACGTCGGCTCAGAGGCCGCGTTGAGAGCTGAAGACTCCAAGTCGGCGGCTAAAGGGCAGGATGCAGTGGGGTCTGGCTCGTGGGATTTGACTGACGGTAGGGTGCGCGCGCAATACTGTGTGTGAGAAGACTTGTACTTTGACAAAAACTGCATACAAAGCATTTACTATATTAGCAGTCAAGCTGCTATCGGCTGGCCGCATACTACTATGGTATCTGACATTCGTGCGTCGGTTCGCTGTTGTCATAGTTATAGTTACCTGATGCTCCGTTGATGCCGAGAGCCCTTCCCAGCACGACCTTTCCGAACTCTCCCTCTCCGAGTAGTTCGCCCAGCACCAGTCGCTGCCGTGGGAACTCCCACTTAGCGTCTACCTGAGGGGAGGAGGGGGAGGAGTGACGTCACGACTAACGGACAGAGCACCCTGGCCCTGTTTCACCAGTGATAGCAGCACGCTGCTATTACACGTGTCAAATTGGGTTTACATGGAAACATCAACAATAGCGTGCTGCTATCACCGGTGAAACAGGGCCCCTGTGAGCGGAGGACCGGTCTGTGACGTCACACACAGAACTGCAGTCTGCTCACATGGATGGCGTGGATTGATAGAAACGACCATTCAGACACTATAAAGTAGAACGACTTATCGATTTTTTTTCTTCACATTTTACCAAACACAAAGCGAGTCATACATCAGACCACTATGGTAGGTGGACGCCCAACTAGCATGGACGGCGACACAAGTATGGCGCTAGATCGGGGTCAGACATGATATAGCGATCTTCGGTAACCGTATATTTTATTTTCATTTCCTTGAATATTTGCCTATATCTTTGCAACGTATTGGACAATGATATTCCTTTTCTCTCTGGGGACTGGGCCTTTCCTACCTCCGTCACATTATAGAAAGCAATTCTAACAACAGATCAGAGCTATGCGATTGAGGCGATTCGGGAGATATGTACTGCTCTGGTCCACAGTCTACGTCTGGGGCTTGCTGTTCAAAACTATAAACATACACATCACCATCACCACAATCGATTAACCACCAATCGATTAAATATCGAAAATGTATATGGGATAATAGTTAGCATAACAATAGTTTCAATATCACAACTAATCCAAGAATCTATAAATCTTTTCAACTGACTGATGATTGATAGTTATGTCAAGCTTAAAAATAATACGAACTCCAGTGGCTTTAACCCGCGCCCCGTTGGGCTCTGCCGAGCAACGCGCCCGGTTGGGGGGGGGGCCATTTTGGCCCCCCCCTAAGATCTCGAGAACCACGCAACATAGCGACAAGCGGTAAACGGCGTTGGATAGCCCCAACGGGGAACTACCTTGTGACCCAATTTATTGACCTAGGTCAAACCGATGACGTCACAGGTCAGGTCAAAGGTCCAATTTTCACCGTTTACAGGCACTTCAAGAAATGCGTTGTAAAATCGAGTAAAATGCATTTCATTGAAAATCATCGATGGGGAAATGTTCTTCAAACACATATTTTGCTATTTGAGGTCACTGATACCAGGTCAGGTCACAGAGGTCAGGTCACGGGGGGGGGGTCACAATATGAAAGTGTCGTGTGATACATGTTTTATGGTCCATTTTACATGACAAATGCGATTATATGGGTCAGGCAGCCTTTGGGGCCAGCTTAGATCACGTTTTGGTCAAGGTCAGGTCAAGGTCAGGTCAAGGTCAGGTCAAATTAGGTCAAATTTCAAAGTTAATATTTTTGCATAAAATGGGTATCGAATCGATGCAGCTCGTCACGGGGAGTTCAATGGTGGTCTTGTTTTGCCCGTACGTGGTCTAGAATTGCTAAAATTGAGTTCAAAAATTTGACGTCATCATTTTTGAACAGTTTTTTCGCTATAACTTGGCCAAAAAACGAGATATCGATCTGAAATTGGTATGTATATAGAAGAGCGCTGGGACTATCACATATATTCCGGTTTTTTCGAAATTCGGAAAATTTTTGGATTTTTTTCGAAGTTTTTCCTAAAAAAATCAATTTTTTGATATTTTTCGGTCAAAAACCAAAAATTTTGAAAATCCGAGATAGCAGTTTTGTAGCGCCGCTTTTTGTCTACTAGACCATATAAAGAACTTTGAAATTGCTTGATAACTGTAGATTTGGTGAGCGTTTCAAGATTGCATGTTTTTTGCTCATTTTTGCTCGAACATGACCTCAGTTTGACCTCAATAACTCCTGACCTAAGGTGACCTAAGACTTGAAATTTGGTGTGAAGGTGTCAAATTGATGCCCGGGAAGGTACTGAAAATTTGGCGGCGCTGCGCGCCGCCGTTTTCCTGCTATTCAGGAAAAACCACAGGGGGGGGGGCCAAAATGGCCCCCCCCCCCCAACGGGGCGAGGGTTAAGCCAAATCACACTGAGGATCACACAACTTCTCCCATCAGTCCAGCTGATGAAGCTCTCTAAAGCTGCGTCTGAGACGCCGCTGTTCGAAAATTGTCTCTCCGGCGGAACCGCCCAGTCCCGGCGCTTCTCTCGCTGCTGTCGGGCTGAGAGGGTTCGCCTTGTTCCCCAGAGGAATATCGGGGGACAGAGCGGGACAGGGCAGAGAAAAACAGATGAGCTGCTACCTTTGTAAAATCTTAACCCTATTCCTGGCGGGCTCCGCCGGGACAAGAAACTGGCGGGGGGGGGGGGCGATTCGGCCCCCCCCCTGAGATCTCGAAAACGAAGCAAGATAGCGACAAGCGGTAAACGGCATCGGATACGCATGGACAAGGTCTACAATTTTTACTAAGGTCATTTTCAGGTCAGGTCAAAGATGACGTCACAGGGGTCGAAAAAGTCAAAATGGCGGCGCTAGATATGGAGAGAGTTTTTCTCGAATAACTTTCGAATTAGTCAAGATAGGAACAAACTAAGGGCATCATCGTGATCCTATCGTCAATCCGCATCGAATGATATATATGTTGACCTCGAAAGGTCAAGGTCAAAGGTTGACCTCAGGTCACGTGACCTCGAGGTCATCATGTATATCATTCGATGCGTCTTGACGAGCTGAACACAATGAGACCATCCACGCGTCTGTATCTTGTTCCTGTACGGAGTTATTGGCCAAAAACCTTTGGTGACCTTTGATGACGTCACATGACCTCACAGCTGTCCAACAGCAAAACAGACCTCAAGGTAGTGAAGGTTGATCGTATATGAAGTCATGTATGGTATATGGGGCCATTCCGACCCGTTTTAGTGGTAAAAACAGGGAGTTGATTTTTCCCCCATTGACTTATAATGGGGAGGTCGCGAAACTGACCTGACCTTAGGTCACCGATATCAAAATTCACAGATATACAAATTGCACATACTGGTACCCTAACTAAAGCCTGAAGAGAAGAAGTTGATCGGTCAAAAACTCTAGCTCTGGCGTGATTGCAAACTTTTCTGAGGTAGGGTCACCAAACCGCCTTTGGTGACCTGACCTGAGGTCAGATCAACTCAAAATTTTCAGACATGTTGCGTAGAAGCCTTTTAGGAAAAGTCAGAAAATTTGAGCTTCCTAGCTCAACGCGTTTGGGAGAAATAACCAAAAAACCTCAGGGGGGGGCTCCTGAGGCCCCCCCCCCCCGCCAGGAATAGGGTTAAACGTCTCAAATATCAATAATAGAGTAGATAAGCCGCCCCAAAAGGGGGCCACGTGGTACCTATGAAAGCATGGCAATTATAAAAAATAATCAACAATATTAACCCGCGCCCCAGTGGCGGTCTCAGCCAGCTTCGCCCTAGTGTGGGGGGGGGGAGGCATATGTTACCATCCACCTCTAACTCAAAAACGAAGAGGGCTAGAAAAACGCGGTAAAAATCAGTCGATAGCTCTCAATACGTACGTTTGAAAGTATTTCGGTCATTTTTCATCTTAGAGAAATATTGGGGTCACTAGAGGTCATCAAAAGTCAAAATTTGCCAAATGTCATAGTATTTTTCAGAAAAATGCATTTATCTCAGGAATTATGATAGCTAGAAAAACGCATGGAAATACAATCGATAGCTTTTGAACTGTTCTTGCGATAAGGTCATAATCAAAATTGACCTCAGGTCAACGGTTTAGCCTCCAGAGGCAAAAACTCCAAAAATAGCTGTTTTTACGAAAAGTGTTTTTCGACAATAACTTTTGACTAAAAAAAGTCACGACATTTCTATTGCCAGAATCGTGTTTCTCTTGCCGAGACGCGTCGAATGAACTATAAATTGACCTTGAAAGGTCAACTTCAAAATTTGACCTCGGGTCAAGGTCATGTTTTGACCGGAAAAGGTCATGTTGCATATCAGTCGATGCGTTCCAACAAGACAAACACAGTGAGACCATCCCCAGCGTTCTATCCCTTTCCAATCGCGAGTTATTGGCAAAAATCTGTTTGTAGTCTCAAATGACCTCGGATGACCTTTCTAGAGGCTATCAGCAAAAATGACACCTTGGTCATCACGGGTGGTCCAAATCATTGTGATTCTGAAATATTTGGACTGTTCCTATAAGTACACACGGATCTAGAGGCATTTTCATTTTTCTCCATTGACTTGTAATGGAAAGGTCACGCCACTGACCTGACCTTAGGTCACGGAAATAAAAAATCCGAGATATACAAATTGTAGGCATCCATAACGTCATGCATTCCACCAAGTTTGAAACCTTTCTGACAAACACTGCAGGCTGGACATGATTGCAAACTTTTTTTAGGCTTGGTCAGTTAACTTGACCTAGTGAACTGACCTGACGTGACCTGGGGTCAAAAATTTCACACATTGTCCAAAATTGATGTACCAAAAGCTACCCCGAGCGGCGCGTAGCTACGCGCCGCGGTTTTTTATTTATACGAGAAAAAAACCGACAGGGTGGTAACATATGGCCCCCCCACTGCACTGGGGCGAAGGTTAAAGAAAAGTACCATCCACTAAAAGTATGATAGGTATGGGAGAATGAGAACTATAGAAGAAGGTTCCATGGCGTAGAAGTAAGAGTTGTAACAGTATAGTACTTTATGACGTTTACATCCGGCCATTCCTTAGGTTTTAACCCGCGCACCGACGGGGGTCTGCGCCAACTTAGTACCGACGGGGGGGGGGGGGGCGGATGACCGCCCCCCCCCTGAGATCTCGAGAACGAAGCAAGATAGCGACAAGCGGTAAACGGCATCGGATACGCACGGACAAGGTCTACAATTTTTACTAAGGTCATTTTCAGGTCAGGTCAAAGATGACGTCACAGGGGTCGAAAAAGTCAAAATGGCGGCGCTAGATATGGAGAGGGTTTTTCTCGAATAACTTTCGAAGTAGTCAAGATAGGAACAAACTAAGGGCATCATCGTGATCCTCTCGTCAATCCGCATCGAATGATA